GCCTGGGGAGGCCTGGCTCGGCTGCCCTCTCTGCAGATTGTCATGCCCACCCTGGGCAGGAGAGACTCCGGCCCCGCGGCCTGTCTGCGCCGGGGCAGGAGTGCCCTGTGCAGCCTGGGAAGAAGGTGTCCAGGCCAAAGGCCCGCGGACGGCACGAGGTGGGGGACCCGGTACTCAGCCCTGGATAGGCTGGAGGCAGGCTAGCCCGGCGAGGGTGAGGAGGCGAGGCCGGCCAGCATCCTTGTAGCCCGTCTGGCCAGAGAGGTGCGTTACCTCAAGAAGCGGAAGAGGAGACACTTGCTTCCTGGTGCGGGCGAGCAGCCGCCCGGCCCCGAAGCTGCTCTGCCTGCAGAAGCTGGGGAGAACCGCGCAGGCCAAGGCCAAGGCTGGGCACCCGGGCCCCCTAGACACCCCGGGTCAGCGGCCCCCGCCCGACGTGAGGCGCTTCTTTACTGTCAAATTGCAGGAACGTCTGCCAGGTCACAAGCACCCATGCCAGTTGAGCATCAGGCCTGGCAAAGTGAAGGGGCAGCCCAAGTGCTCGCGTCAGCCCCATCACTTGGCAGGGAAGCACGGGGATGGAGGCAGGGGGGCATCGGGGAGGGCCGCCTGAGAAGCAGCAGAAGGGCCTGCCATCAGTGGACCAGCCGTTGCTTCCCTGAGGGCCGCTGTCACAATGCCAGCGCCTGATGCCTCGCCTCTGGAAGACAGAGACGGGACATGTGGTTCCGTGTGGGCCTCCCCCACCTGCTCCCCCCAGAGATGACCCTGCCGCTCCCCCGATGAGGCAGTCAGGCAGGACCGAGGTGGCATGCATGCCCCCCAGCAGCCCCAAGCCGGGACCTGTAACCACAGCACCGCCGAGCTCCTCTGCAGCCTGGCCCTGCCGCTCTCCTTTGTCTCGTCTCCGCCCTTTCAGGAGGTTCCTTTACCAGGGGGACCTTGCTATCGCCTCCTGCCTCCAGCCTTCTTCTCTCACAAAGCCGAGCCCCTGCTCCACGAGGAGATGGGCGACCAGGTGCGGGGCCAAGGGCGACCGCGTCTGCCTCTGTCTCCGTGGCAGCCGGGCCAAGAACATGGACTCCTTGGGCGTCAGCGCCCACTGGGGGGCCGGCAGGGGGCCTCGGGGAGCCTGAGGAGTCAGGCGGCGCTCGGGGTCCCGGCCTGCCCCTGGGCCGCACTCCGGAGGACAGGCTGCGGGGACAGCAGTTGGGGACAGCTCGGCCTGTGGCTCTCGGGCCCGGCTCCCCACAGCCGGGCTGAGAAACATCCGCGGACCACCGGGTGTCCGCGCACCGCCGGCCGGAATGGCTGGTTGGCGCAGCAGCGGCCGCCGCGCGAGTTTACGAGGAGAAACAGCGGCTGGGCAAGGCGGGGGCCGCCTCCTGGAACCTGATCTACAGCCCAGTTATGCGCCCGTGGCCCTTCCGATGGTGGCCGAGGAATTGCGCGCCGCCCGGGCCGCGTTCGGCCTGATGCAACCCCAGCTGCGCTACCCTCACCTCTCCCTGGAGCGGAGCGCCCGAGAGATGACCTAGGGCCCGGCCCCTGCAGCTCTCCACGGACCGCCAGCTCACCCGGGCTCTTCCACCGCGAGGACCCTGCTGGACCTCCCCGCTTCAGGGGCAGGATCGAGGCCATCCTCCCCGACGGGGCCGACCTCCACTGGAGGCAGGCTCTCGCATACAAGGTGAAGGAGCTCGTGCTGTCTGAAGAGCCCGCACCGCCCTCCCCTTCCCTACAGGGCCCCAAGGCTGGGTGGGCGGAGGCCACCCTGAGCAACAGAGGAGCCCCCAGCCCCAGGAAGAAGGGAAGGGCCTGGGGGAGCCCGTGCAGAGAAGCCGGACCCCCTCCTCCACGTCCTTGCTGCTGGGCCAGAGTGAGAAGAGCCCGTTGGAGCGGCTGGAGAGCGTGGGGCTGCTGGCCTCTGAGTGGAGCGGCGCCTCCCTCTCCACGGAGAGCCACCTGGCTAGGATCATTGTCAAGAGGCACCTGTGTGAGAATGAGACAGTGGGTGCCCAGGAGGACCCCTTGGCTTGCTGGAAGAAGCAGTGGGACGTCTGGCCAGCCCTGAAGACCAACCTGGAGCGTTTCCCCAGCTACATGCCCCCCACCCGTCTTCTTCCCGCGCAGGGACCTGGCCCGGGAGGGTCAGAGCCGGGAGTCTGAGTGCTGGGAAGCCCCAGAGAGCTGCCTGGGGGACAGCTGCCTAGATGAGTGGGCAGAGCGTCCCGTCCTAGGGCGGCACACAGGGTCGGCCAGACCCTGGAGCCTGTTTGAGAAGAATGAGGATGGTTCTCAGTTCCAGCCGGGTTGCCAGTTTTGTATTCAGGGAGAATCCGTTTTCTATCTGCCCACTGCTTGCATTACTGCTGGTGTGTGCGTGGAAAGGTGGGCTGTGTTCCTCAGTGACTTGAGCCGTCCCGCCCGGTGTATGGCTGAGGTGCCCCTTTAAAGTGTCAACGGGTAGGGAGGCCCACACGCAGCTGGTCTGTGTCGGCTCTGCCGGCCCTGGAGGGCGGCTTTCTCGGAGTTACCACTCAAAGTTACTGAGAATGACAGGCAGCAGGGGAAATTCACCATAATCGTTTTTTTGCTCAGCAGCCTCCGTGAACTCTTTTCCTTGAGATGGTAAGCCTGTGTACTAGGCAGTCTGCTGTGTGTTCATTTGAGCAGGGTCCCGTGGCACCTTCTTGAAGAAAGCCTTGTGCAGCTTGTGTTCAGTGATTGCAACAGCGTGACCTGAAGTCACCTGCACTCTGTGCTCAGGTGGCACCTTCTTTGCCACTGCTGAAAAGCATGTGTGCAGGGCGGGGGGCGGAGGGGCTGTCCTGGAGGCCACGTATATTGGTTGGTGCCGCCATCCCCCGGTCAGCTCTCGGGAGAGGCACCCTTGTGGTGTGGCGTCACCCCCAGCGGCTCCTCCACACTCCAAAGAGGGGAAACCTGGACCGGAGCGGCAGGGGGTGTGTGAGGAGGTGAGCGGAAGGAGGGGGTGAGAGGCTGGAGGGTCCCGAGCCCGGGGGCTCGGGCTCTGGAGCGGAGATGCCCCACTAGGGGCAGTTCACTCCCCCAAATGGGGGGATCACTCCTGTCCTCTCGTGGGTGGGAGATGGGCACATGGCAGAGGCAACACCTCGACCCAGGTGGCACCTGGACCCCGTCTGCCTGGACTCAAGCCAGCCTCCTGAGGCTGGCGCTCCGGGCACCCTGCGTCTCATCCTTTCTGCACCCATGGGCCTGAGACGGAGCCTGGCATCTGGTCGCGTGGCCAGGTTCCGAGGCCACATGCTCCCTCCTCCCCGTGGCTCGCTGTCTGCTGCGGGGTCCCAGTCCCTGGCTCCTGTGTTTATGGCAGGTCCAGTGCCCCTCACATGCCCCCCACCCCGTGGGCCAGATTAGGTTTAACCTGACGCGGTGGTGATCGCGTCGCCCTGCTGTTTACAAACAAACCCTGGCAATGCTTCCGCGGAGTGAGCCAGGCTTCTTAGCAGATACCCCAGTGCTTTGAGACAGAAACTTTGCTAGAAATGAAGGTAGAGCTGGGCTGCTGAAGATTAAAGATGTGGGACCCCCTTCTCAGAGGTGGGGTGGAGGTGGGATGTGTTGGCAGCCCCCCAGCTTCCTAGGGGGTGTGGGAAGAGCTCTGGGTCTGGTTTCCTTGGTGCGGGGGGATGAGAAGTGGCGTTGCTATGGAGACACAGCCTGGGAGCCTGACCATGGCCCTGGAGCCCCGGGCTTTGTAAACAGCAAGAGTGAATGGCCCCTTGGTTCTCCGTGGGCACCACCCTGCCTGGCCTGGGCCTGGCCCTGGCCGGTCTGCAGGTTGGGGAGCTGCCACTTGGAGCAGAGGTCTTTGCTTGTTTTCCTCTCTGCTTGAACCCTGACCCCTCTGTGCTCCTCTGGTATGGTGGGTGCCCCTCCCCCTTGGCTGCCTCACTCGGGCTCTGGGCTTGCGGTGGCCCCTGGGTCTCTGCCCATCCGATGGCCACTGGCAGCCTGGAAATCCCCTCCCTCCCCTTTTCTGGAGCCAGCATTGGGGCCACCCTGCCCCTGCCTCCAGGACGGCTTCCTGGACTGCTCCGCCTTCCCTCCCCAGCCCCTCTTTGCCTACTTAGGAAACGGTGTCACGTTTGTGGCTGGAACCATGCTCTCTGGCTTACGGGAAGGGACATTCTGTTGAGGCCAGAGTGAAGCGCTGGTCTTGTCGGACAGGGGTCGGGGAGCAAAGGCATGGGCCCTGGCGGTGCTGCCACTCACTCCCTCGACCCCAGCTTCCTTGTCTAGGACTGAAGGCTGGACACTCAGCCCCACAGCTGCCACCGGCGGGGGGGCCCATGGAACCCCAAACCCATTTTGAGTTCACTACTGATGGTGAAAAAACTCTAATTGAGAACACCTGGGAGGGAATAAGGCAAGGCCCAGGTGCTCTCAACTGTGTTTGCAAAGGTAGGGCATTCACAGGAAGGAAGCAAAGGAGATGGCGATCCTGGGGGCCTGTTGTCTATTCAAAAATAGCTTGAAAGGATTTGAGAAGAAATGTCTCAGTTCATGATACGAGCAGTTACCAAAAAAGGAAAGGAATGAGATTTTGCACACTGGGGACCGTGGAGGGATTGTAACATCGGGCCTGAACTCCATCTGGGACCCCCTCAGGTGGGGGCCTGTGCCTGGCCGGCTCCCGTCGTGGGGCTCCTGGCCCTCCTGTGCCTTGGGCTGCAGTCCTCTGGCCCCACTGGGCAGCTAAGCCTGGCGGTAGGGGAGGGGTGGTCACAGACGCATCCCCTGCTGCAGCTCCACGGGACTCAAAGGCCCGCTCACTGTTCGATTGTCTCTCCTTAGGGACCTGCTGGCCCTTGAGTGGGGCTGCCGGAGATGCATCCAACCTGGGCCCAGGCTGAGTGGAGGGGGCCACCCGTGGGGTGAGCAGCCCGCTCACTGCCAGCAGCACCTGCGTCGCAGCTGCCCGACCCCCCAGCCCCCCGGAACCACTTGGTCTCATGGAGTCTCGGGGCGAGAAGTCGGAAGAGGCCGATGGGGTGCGTGTGACGCCCCAGCTGCTCAAGGCGCACTCGGGCGAGTTCTCCCTGGAGTCCATCCTGCTGCTCAAGCTGCGGGGCCTGGGGCTGGTGGACCTGGGCTGCCTTGGGGACTGCCTGGGCCTCGAGTGGCTGGACCTGTCAGGCAACGCGCTCACCCAGCTGGGCCCGCTGGCCTCCCTGCGGCAGCTGGCCGTGCTCAATGTGGCCGACAACCGGCTGACGAGCCTGGAGCCCCTGGCCGCCTGTGAGAACCTGCAGCATCTCAACGCCGCGGGCAACCTGCTGGCTGGGCCCGCGCAGCTGCAGTGCCTGGCGGGGCTGCGGGGTCTGGAGCGCCTGCGGCTCCGAGACCCCCTGGCACGACTCAGCAACCCGCTGTGTGCCAGCCCCTGCTACTGGGCCTCAGTGCGCGAGCTGCTGCCCGGCCTGAGGGTCCTCGACGGCGAGCGTGTAAGTGGGCGCGGCAGTGACTTCTACCAGCTGTGCCGGGACCTCGACAGCTCCTTGCGCCCCGGTCCTGGCACTCCCGGCCCCTGGCCGGCGGAGGCCCAGCCCTGGGTGGAGCCCAGCTACTGGGAGGCCTGGCCCCCACGCAGTAGCTCCATCCTGGAGGAGGCCTGCCGCCAGTTCCAGGACACGCTGCAGGAGTGCCACGACCTGGACCGCCAGGCCCGGGACAGCCTGGCCCAGGCGGAGCGGGTGCTCAGCCCCGCGGGCACTGCCGCCGCCTCCTTCATCTTCTGAAGGCGCCCTGAGGCGCTCGGTGGCCTTCATGCTTCTCTGGACGGTTTTGTCCCACTGCTCGCTGCCCTTCAAGGAAAACTCTCCAGCTGTCTATCAGAGACATACCTCCCTCGGGTCCTCCCCAAGCAGCCGGCTCAGCATGAGGCTGTCCTGCCACCTACGCAGTGCGCCTGGGAGGAGGTCCCTGGCCCCTTCCTTGGCCACAGCTGCTGCCTGTACCGGCTGCATGAGCCTGAGGCTCGGGGGGAAGAAAGTGGCTTGGTCCTGAGGCTGCAGGTGGGCAAGGGGGGAAAGGCCGCTGAGGGCGATGCTGAGCTCGGCCAGCCAGCTGTGGAAGCTGCATTTATTCACCTCCCAGGTTCTATCCGGTGACTCTCTGCTGTGTCCCTCGCTCCTGGGTCTCCCAGGAACCTCCACTGTCCCCATTCCCACCCATGCTCATCCCTATTAAATTATGTTTTAATTTGTATCAGTACACGTGGGCATGCTTGTTTTCCCAAGAGGGAGCCCCTGAAAGCAAGCCTGGGTCCTCCATGCCCACCCCCACTTCTGGCCTTCCCCTGGGCAAGGAGGAGGTGTCTGCGGCTTTCTGGGTGTCCAGGCGGCTGGGTCCTGCCCCCTCCCCACCCACCCCCACCACCTCAGGGCTTTGCTTCCTCTCTGTGAGGCTGTAGCACCAGGGCCTTTGCTCACACACAGGCCACGCTGCAGCCGAGCTGGGGGAGGGAGGGAATGTGAGGGAGCGTGAGAATTCAGCTGAGTGCAGCTTTATTAGCTCAGGGGTCAGGGGTGGCCCCTCCCCGGGGCACAGAGGAGGGAGGCGGGCTTTCACTTGTGACCTCCCTTCCTTCCAGGAAGCCGGGTGACTTCTAGAGGAAAGGGAAGAGAAACAGGTGGGGCGTGAGGGAGGCGGTCTTCACAGGCTCCCAGCCCCTGTCCCCCTGCCTCCCACAGCCCAGCTCCAGTGCTCTCTCAGTCCTCCCGTCCCCCTCCCTCCTGGCTGCCTACCCACCAGGCCTCAGCTCTGGGACAAGGCTTTGATGAAGGCGAACTGTCCGGGGAGGTAGTAGCTGTGGGGGTCCTCGCCAGCATGCTCCACCCTGCTGCACTGGGTGTCCTGGGCCTCCTCCAGCTCCTGCAGGCACAGGGCCACTCCAGCCGCACCGTTCCTGCCAGCACCCACAGCCCCCGCCCCCATCCCGGGGGCGCCTGGGCCGGGCCCAGAGCCCCTCCTCACCCCCGCACTCCTCCATCCAGGCCTCTCCCAAGGCCCAGTCTCCCCCCATCTTACCAGCCCCCTCCTCACCCGTTGAACCGGCGTCTGTATGGGACAGTGCACCATCCGGCCCAGGACTTGATCCTTTGAGTCCAGCTTGATGCAGGCCAGGCATTTCCGCTTTCTCTGCAGAGGGGGCGTGGGGGCCAGAGAGGAAAGGGGTGAAGGGAGGCCTGCAGCCCTGTGAAGGCGGAACCTGGGGCCAGCCTGCAGTGGGGCCCGTTCCCTTGGCAGGCCAGCTGGATCCAGGCACAACCTAGATCTGGGCTGGGAATTTTCAGAAGTCAGAACTATCCTGCAGTTTTCAAACTGTGTGTATGTGTCTGTGTGTAGGCGGCACTTAGTTTTCAAACTGTGTGTTTGTTTGTGTGTTTGTGTGTCTGTCTGTGTCTGACACAGCCAGGTTCTCCCCACCTGGCTCCCGCTGTGCTGCCATCTGTTACATTTATTTGTGTTTTCTGTTTTCTTGGAAGATTTGAATTGAACACAGGGATCCTGGTGTAAAAGTCCAGAAAAGCACTAGTCTAATCCAGCACTCCTTCAGCAGAGGGAGGTGACCGAGGCCTTGTCGAGCCAGCGCAGGAACAGGACTTGTGGTTGGCAGAGGTGGTTGTGCTCTGGGCCCAGGGGTCACCTGCACGGCAGTGACTTGGCCCCCAAGGTGGCTGATGACAGTCAGACCTTCTTAGGAGTCAGCCCAGGCCGGGCCATGTCCCCTTGAAAACTCATGAGAAATGGGAAGTTCACCAGGCCTAGGGTGGGGACCACGGCGTCCCGCCGCCAGTGACCTACAGCCTGGGGTGGACCCACTCTGGAGCCTGTGTGTCCGTCTTCCTGCCTGTCCCCCTCAGCCCACCCACAGCCGTCACCGCCAGGGGCGCAGGCAGGCAGGCAGGTCAGAGCTTGGGAGGCTGCCCTGCCCAGGGTCTCTACCCTCAGGCTTCTCCAGCTGTGAAGCCGGCGCCCACTCCCGCCCTGAGCACGCCCCTGCCATCAGCTCACCCCGTTGGGCTTGACCTTGCAGTCTGCTTTCCTCCAGTCCTTCTTCCGACAGCTCGTCTGCTGGAGCTTGAACTCCAGCTTCACAAACTGCCCGGCCGGGAAGAGCTGCAGACAGACAAGAGGAAGGCCCGCGGCCCAGCTGAGCCGGCAGGGCTGTTGCGGGTTTGACCTGGCCCTGCTCCCCAGCGGGCAGCAGCACTCCCCGGGGCAGGGGGGGTGGGCAGCTGGGCTGGCAGCCTCTCTCTGGAGAGCTGGGCGGCTCTCAGGGGCCCAAGCATCATTGCACCCACTCTCGGGGCAGGGGGACGTTCCAGTCTCCTGATCCCCGTCCCCGCCCTCCCCTCGCTGGGCTGGTGCTCACCATGTCCATGGCACTGTCCACGCTGGTCACTTGGAAGGTCCACTGCACAGGCGGATGCTTGTGGAACTCCTCGAGGGCCACCTGCAGGCCGCGGTGCTGGGCCGCCGTGAGCTCCGCCCTGTCCAAGCCCATGGCGCCCAGCCCCAGGGCCAGCGGGAGCAGCAGCTGCCACATGGCTTCACCTCCTCCTCCCGGGGACCCTGCGGAGGGCTGTGCGTGGGTCCGGAGGAGGAGCCACCGCTCCCGGGCCCTGTGGCTCAGAGGCCGCGTCTGGTGAGCCCTGGGCAGAGGTGGGGGGACACGGAGTGGCCCTGCAGACCCCTGTCCCTATACCCCGGTATTGCCCCGGCCCGTCCCTCTCCTCCCACCCAGCCCCACTGTTCCCAGGCCCGGCCCAGGCTGGCCCTGTCCGAGGTAGGTGCTGGGTCGGCTCCAGTCCTCAGACCAGCAGCTGGGGAGCAGTGCTGTCGCCCACTCCAGCGCTCTCCCCCGTCTTCTGGTCCACTTTCTCTCCAACACCCCCTCTCCCACTTCCTGTGCCCAGATTTCTGGCTCCACGGGGTCCCGAGGCCCACAGCTCGGGTGTGGGGGGAAGGAATGGAGGCTAGCTGGAGGCTGAATATTTTGGGGAGGACGTAAACACGTGGGAGGGGCCCAGGGCGGTGGGCGCCAGGAGCCCGCTTAACCCCTGCCCTGCTGAAAAAGCCTGATCCCATCGACCCCACCACCTCAGCCCGCCCCCCCCACGCTCCCTCAGAAAATGGGGGTCCCTCCTCCGCCCCACCTCCGCTGTCTTCTTAGGCAGACTCCCCCTCCCTTGCCTTTTTTCTTTTCCGGAGCCTTCCTCTCCCAGCCCGCCAACCCCTCACCTCAGTCCGTGTTACTGGGGACGGGGGCTGCCTGAGGGTCAGACCCTCTCCGAGAACTCTGTCCGGGAGCAGCCTCCCGAGAACCAGAAAGCCCCAGGTGTGGAGACCCAGCCCCCGCCGGGAAAAGGTGTCAGGCCATCGCCTCGAAGACAGGACAGGGCTCGAGGTGCAGCCGACAAACGCCGGCCTCCGGAGCTGCGCCCTCTGCCCGCCCCACGCTCCCCTCCTCACCTCCTCTCCTGAGCCTCGGGGTCTCCCCTGCAGCCTCGGCCTCTTCCCGGCACCCGTCAGGCTCCCCCCACGGCGCGCCCGTCTCCTCCCATTCCCACCTCCTCCTGGGTCCCCTCCAGCGCCCCGCGGCTCCTCCCCACCCGCCGGGACCGGCCTTGGCCAACGGCCCTCCTGGGACTTCCCTCCTCATCCCCGCCCTGTGCTGTCCCGCCTTGCCCTCCCATCCCCTCCCGCTGGCCCAGTGGACTGGCCCCAGCCCGGGCGCTGCCCTGCCCCCAGGAACAGGGCTACCCCTTCCCCTCAGGCCCCTCCAGGCCGTCCCCAAGACACTCATTTCAGAAAATTCTTCCCAGAAATCCAGACGTCCTCAAATCCCAGGAGAACTCGAGGAGTCATTTGAACCATTCTCCTGCACCCTGGAGCCACAGGGAGAAGGAAGGGGGTCTCCGGGGCCTGACAGCCTCCGACACCAGCAAACACGTCAGGTGTGAAGGATCGCGTCCCATCTGTGGTGGCGATAGGCTCACGGGGTCTCACGTGTGGGTGGAGGGCGGTGTGGTGGGGTTCCGAAGGCTGCTGGGGCGTTAGGGGAAAACGGGCTCAGCTCCTGCTGCTCCTGAGCAAATAAGAACAAGCCACGAAGACTGCTGCTACCCAAGTCCTGGGCCCTCTGCCCTCCCCCACGGAGAGCGAGTGAAAGACTCTTTGCCACCCCATGGACTACACAGTCGATGGAATTCTCTAGGCAAGAATACTGGAGTCACGGGTAGCCATGGAGAAGGATCTCCAGGGGATCTTCCCAACCCAGGGATCGAACCCAGGTCTCCCGCATTGCGGGCGGATTCTTTACCAGCTGAGCCACCAGGGAAGCCCAAGAATACTGGAGGGGGCAGCCTATCCCTGCTCAGGGGGATCTTCCTGATGCAGGGATCGAACCAGGGTCTCCTGCATTGCAAGTGGGTTCTTTACCAGCTGAGCCACCAGGGAAGCCCCCACGGAGATGAGCTGGTTTAACCAGCAGGACTCCTGCACCTTCTGCTCCCTTCTCTGCGATGTGGGGGCCAGAGGCCCTCCCGCTAGGGGGCTGTTTTGAGGATTACATGGGGAGACGTGTGGAAAGGGACGGGTGACCCCGTGTTTGGTCCCCTCCCCATGCAGCCCTGGCAGGGTTCTCTACGTGGAGCCCAGAGCTTCCTTTGCAGCGTGCTCTGGGCGTGCCAGAAAGATCCTCGGCTTCAATTAGCCAGTTCTGGGGGCTGAAGTCCCACCTTGGACATCTCAGTCCCATCTGCGAGTTGTCAATGATCATTAAGCAGAGATGAGAGCTGGGGTCTTTGTTCTCCAGGAACTGGTGGGACTAGAGAAACAACAGGACCGCATGCTGGGGGAGGCCCAGCGGGGTGGGCGACCGAGGAAACTTCCAAGACAAGGTGGACTTGCGCTGAGGACGGCAGGAAAGTCACCCTGCCTTCATGGGGTGGGGTGAGCAAGGAGGGCTGCAGTGGGCAGTGGGCAAGGCAGGAGACTGGGGGCCGGGTGCACACACAGTGCAGGTCACTCAGCCAGACAGAACGTCCTGTGGGTGAAAGGAGAGTGAGTGGTGGGCAACCACAGGGCTGATGAGGGCGGGGTTGCCATGCCCTCCTCCGGAGAATCTTCCCACCCAGGGATCGAACCCACACCTCCTGTCTCCTGCATAGGCAGGCAGCTTCTTTACCACTAGCGCCGCCCGGGAAGCCCCATTACTGTTCAATTTGGTTTAGGGGTTACTCAGTGTACATTCATGAGCTCAGCATCAAGTGACCCAGGCAAGCAGCGACAGCACTTAGCTGTTTACTGGTGGTTAATGATCTTCCTGGACATCACGGCTGAAAGCAGAAATTCACACATCCGGGTCCTTCTGACAAAGATTTCAAAATGTGCCCAGTTGCTCAGTCATGTCCAACCCTTGGCGGCTGCGTGGATTGTAGTCCACCAGGCTTCTTTGCCCATGGAAGTTTCCAGGCAAGAATACTGGAGTGGGTTGCCATTTCCTCCTCCAGGGGCTCTCCCCTACTCAGGGATTGAACCCACATCTCTTGTGTCCCCTGCATTGGCGGGTGGATTCTTTATCACTAGTGCCACCTGAAAAGTCCTTGGTTTATAGGAGTGTAATATTGGTGAGAAAACTTACACTAATTTAAAATCTCTGATTGTTGAATATCTGGTTAAAATTCTTTTTGAGAATTTTTTTTTTTTTGCATTGCCACGTGGCATGTGGGATCCTAGCTCTCTGACCAGGGATTGAACCCATGACCCCTGCACTAGAAGTGCAGAGTCTTAACCCCTGGACCCCCAAGGAAGTCTCAGTGTTCTTTTAGTTTCAGGAAAATCTTGGAGTTAACAGTACAGTTTGCACATGCTAAGTCACTTTAGTCATGTTTGTGACTCTAGCCTGCCAGGCTTCTCTGTCCAGGGGATTCTCCAAGCAAGAATACTGGAGTGGGTTGCCATGCCCTCCTCCACGGGATCTTCCCGACCCGGGGATCGAACCCGCACCTCTTGTCCCCTGCATCGGCAGGCAGGTTCTTTACCACTAGCTCCACCTGGGGAAGCCCCATTACTGTTCAGTTCAGTTCAGTTCAGTTCAGCCGCTCAGTCGTGTCCGACTCTTAAAACCCTTCCATGACTCAAGCAATGAGTGTTGGCAAAGAAAAATGTATTCATTGTCTTCTTCTTCTTTCAACAGTCTCATAAACCAGTGATGTTTCATGGCATTTGCCCTTAAATACTAAATGATTTTAACTGTAACCATGACACTTGCATAGAGCCTGCTCAGAAAGGCGAACACAAATATTTTCAATATTCAGTGGAATGGAGCAACACAGGAAACACTGGTCTCTTGTTTGAAAACTGCAAGACCTCAGCCACACTGGCCGCATGTCAAGTGATCATCACGAACGACGTGTGTCTACCTGTGCTCATACATGCGTGGCGTGTTTCAAGAAGGAGAAACAAAAAGCTTGTGGCAGTGGTTGCCTCTGAGGAGAGGAACTGTCTGGCTCCGAGAGGGGAAGGAGAAAGGAGAGAGGAAAATGGCGTGCCCTTCGTATCTGTACAGTCTCATACCGTCCGGGTAATTTGTTGATTGTAAAAGCAATTTTTTAAAAGTTTAAAAATCACACAGCAAATAGCGTTGTTGAAAACTCACTCTGGCCAGTGTGTGGAGGGTAGACAAGAGGGGAGCCAAGCTCAGGTGCCGGACGTCCTCGGTGGGAGAGAGACGATGGAAGCTGGTAATGAACGCGGCAGAAACCAGGTTGCTGAAGGCAGAGACCAGCAGACGGGTAAGAGGAGGTTAAATCCTTCGTCACTGTTTTCCATGTGCACTAATTTCTGATCCAGTTATGTGTAATCTGCTTTTCATCAGGCTATTACACTTTAAGTTCCATTAAAATTTTTCTGGACATTCTCTTTGCTTCTTTTTCAAATCTTCCTGTTCCTTTCAGCTGCTCTTTTGGGCTTACTGGCCATTCGTATATCCTCTTTGGAGGGATGACTGTGCAACTCCTTTGACCATATTTTAACTTGTCTGTTTGTTGTTGAGTTGTTGGAGTTTTTTTATGTTCTGCATGTTAATCCCTCATCAGATATATGATTTGCAGATACTTTCTCCCACTCTAGGGGCTGCTTTTCTACTCTGTTCGTAGTGTCCATAAGCTTTTAATTTTCCTGAAGTTCAGCTTATCTACTTATTGTTTCTTTGCTCCGTCGCTCTGTCTAGAACTTCCAGTATTTTGTTGACTAGAAGAGGTAAAAGCAGACATTCTTTCCCTTGTTCCTGATCTTAGAAGAGATTTCAGCTGTTTTTGTCATTTGAGTATGATGTTCACTATGAGTTTCCTATATATGGCTTTTATTAAGTTGAAATAATTTCCTTCTATTACTGGTTTGTTGAGTGGTTCTATCATGAAAGGATATTGAATTTTTTCACATGCTTTTCCTGTTTCAGTTGAAAAAAAAACTTTTTTTCCCCCCTGCACTGTGAGGCTTGTGGGATGTCTGTTCCCTGACCAGGGATTGAACCTATGCCCT